ACCAACACTTTATGTGGTTTAGAATGTAATTGGAGAGATGGGCATTTAGTAAATAAGGTGACGTGCATGGCGCAGATGTTTCTGARCTCATTCAGAAATGTGCCAAACTGATGGTGGAGCTCACTGATGTGTGGAAAGAAATGCCTAATCCAGCTATATTACAAATAAGGTGTGGGAGGCTTTGGGCCCATCGCAAATGAAGTCAGTGTTTTTGTATTGTTGAGTCACAGTGTTAAGTAGCATGCTTACTGAGGCTGAATTGCTACTCCTGTTGGGTTAAAAGCAAACAAACATACCCAGAAATGAGCAGAATCTTTATTTATCTCCTRTAAAGTGGTCTTCATCAGTTTGCAGACTGCAGTTTGTGACTGAGTGCAAAACAACGCCTTTATAGCAAACACATAYGTTTGATTAGGTACCTCTTCAGRCTCCTAAGTAGGCCTTCAMAGGAGGCACATCACTCTTCAAAGCTCCCAGAGAGACAGAATGCTCTAGTGGCAACAGGGTTTCTCAGACARCATTTTAATAAAGTTTCATTAATGTCRTGGTTGTRCAGTGGGAAACGCGCTCCTGCCTTGTCTCTCCATATGATGGGAAGCCGGTTTCTCATCAGCCTAAACTGTGTGGGAGATGTAGAAGCCAGCAGGGCTCTGTCTTCATATGGGGCTCTGAATTGTTGTAACAAGATTTGAGTTTGCTTCCTTCATACRTGAAACAATCTCATCCGTATAAACTGTATTATTATGTCAACAATGAAGCTAGGATCTCTTTTTTTATTTATCTTGAGGGAGTGTTTCCTGTCTCGAGTGCTCTTTTTTATGTCTGATGATTGCACACGTACACACGAACACACATACACAGCATTCATTGTGTGTTTACAGACGAGAAAGTCAAGGAACTGCGGTACTTTGGTTCAGTTTTGTGCGTTTGGCTCTTATGAACATTAAACATTAAAAATAACTTTTTACATGTTAGTCTGTTCACTGCACTGTATTAAGGTAAAAAATAGAATGTCTTTATCCATTGTCTCTCCCCACCCTTCCTATCTCTCTGTCATGACTGTCTTTCCTCACAATGGAGGCATGTTTTCTTATTGTCACACTGAAGAACAAAGACCAGTAGCAACAACAAAAGCAAAGGCAAAAAAAAACAAAAAGAAAAAAAGGCAAAAAAAAACAAAAAGAAAAAAGAAAAAAAAACCTTTTGAAATACTGTAATGCAATTGAACGGCTAAGCACTGAGTTGTATTAGGTTATCAGACTGAAGAACAAAAACTAGTAGCAACAACAAAAGCAAAGGCAAAAAAAAACAAAAAGAAAAAAAAAAAAAAAACCTTTTGAAATACTGTAATGCAATTGAACGGCTAAGCACTGAGTTGTATTAGGTTATCAGTGGCTGAAATCCCTTGTGGCGTGAGACATAAATCAAATACGTCAGTCCTTTTTTTCTTCCATCTCCTCCCTCTTTCTACAGCCTGCTGACTTTTCTGGCAGTCCCACRAGGGCTTTAACCTTGACTAACCCCTGACGCATTCAGTTCTTCCAGGACTAGTCGTGACATTAAAATCATGATTCTGATTGCTTTYGTTTTGCCAGTACTCCGTAACTTTACAAGTCGGCTTTTAATTGCTTGTGCTTTTCATTGATTATTGTTAAATGACCACACTGAATGTGCTACTCTAAAGGCGGYGGCTTATTTTCTGTTTAATRCAACCAAAAATCCATCCAGGGGCTCAAATTTCAYCTAATGTGSTTTATGAAATGTTTATTCTTTTGTCCCTTATTATYGTGTAAGCTAGCTGAACCTGCRATGCATTAAAACTGCTGGAGGAGAATATYTCTCTCTTCTAATGGAAGATCTGAGCCAAATAAAAGTGTAATCCTAGACGCTTTAGTGTCATCGCCAACACTGAGCCAAAGTGGCAGGTGCCTGCTATGGTYTTTGCTAATGTTCATCTCTCTGTTCCCACTGATTTTGAGGTCGGACTCATCGCCTCAGAGCCCAAGTGCAACTCAAAATTCCCTTTTGCCATTTCTTGTGTGAGTTGTTAGAGTTGAGGCAGGTACAAGTCAAATCCAGCCATGGTCTGAGCTCTGGAATCAGTAATTTAATAAGCTCTCTCTCTCTCTCTCTCAGTGCTACAGAGCAGTGAAAGACCCATCTACCACAGGGATGTGACCTTAGCTTGTCAGAGAGCTTTATGAGATTCATCTGGACTTACATCACAACCTAGCAAAAGCCTGATATATGGAAGCACTGCAGCGCTGACGGGGGGATTTTACTTTCATGACAAGTGTGGCTTGGCTGTGGTCCTGACACACCCTGGCATGCCACAAGGCAGATGGTGAGTCCCCAGGAACTGCTACACCCCTGTTCTCACAACTTCGAGCTCCTCCTCCTGTTGAGCAGTCATTAGTGCAATGGAACAGGAAGGACACATTGGAACAAGTAGGAAATATTAAGCACATCCTTCAGCATAAAATGAGCAAAGATTCAGCRGCAAATTGTAGGGCGTTTATAGAGTTGCACATTATTATTGTTCATAAATCACCAGATGGAGGTGACAACAATATTGGTGCCTTTTTTTTGTTGCTTTCAAAATCAGTGTACACTAGATATTTCTTAAAACCATAATACTGCTGGATATCTTGTCCCAGCGAGCAAGCAAGGCGGGCTGTATTTTTCAACTGTCAAATTGAAGAATTGGGTTTTATCCCTCACTGCATTTAATCCTCCTGTCCAACGCTATCAGAAGGTTTCATCACATTCTCAGGCTTGGTTTGTCCTACATTTATGTCAACAGGAAAGGCAAAAGGATGATGTCATGTGTTTGGCATGGCTTTGTGCATAACTCAATAAGTTATTCTCATTATTTCCTGAAGCATGTCCAAACATCGTTTGGTTTATGATGAAGGTGCAGCAAGGTAGCTCGAGTCAACGAGTGCGTTTTGTTAAAGCGTAACTTTGGGCAAATATTCAGCAATATTTGCTCTGCAATCTAAAATAGTGGAAAGCATCACAAAGTAGAGAACATAAGTTTTTCATCTACTATCTGGGAACTGTGGATTTTACCTGTTTGTTCAAACAAGCGTGATTGTGTTGCTTGAGTAAAAAAGAAAAAAACCTCCGACTGTATATCAGAAAATATAAAAATCTGTATCTTATGTCTACTAGTCTTTATCGCCTAAGTTATTGATGTTTTTTTTAAATTTGAGTGAAAATGACTTGTTTTTAAGCCTGGGCTGTAGTTGTCTTTGTATCAGAGGTGAATTTGGCACACAGTTTGAGTACTGATGGCTGAGTTTTCATGCAACAAGGGGCATGATGGTAATGGTGGTGAACACAGAATGCATAATTTCCTGGTGTCTCTTGAGGTGCAAATATGGGTCTTGTCAAATTGACTAAATTTTAATCAAACCTGTGCACACATTGCATATACTTTATGTGAACCAAAAACAAACAAGGAAAATGTTTGTATTAGATTTCTCCCTCTGCTTGAAGTCACAGAAGCAAAACATTCAAGGAACCCCTAATTACCCCRTAGCAAAAAAAAAGTTATTTCCCTGCAAACAGATGGAGAGGGAGTCCTAGAGAAAGCAGATTTACCACACGGCTGCTGTTGTGAACACATTCATGGCATAGACGTCCTCTGTTTATTATTGTTTAATCCATGTATGAGGTGATTTGTGCAGGAATTTACCTGCCAGAACTACTTTGTCACTAAGTGGCTTACAAATTATTCTCAGTGAACCTACTGGTATGTTGCACCTGGAACCTTATCAACATGTCTCCTGTTAAAAATTAATTGCTGAGTTCAAAAGACACTCAACATCAGTGTTGTTACTTGAAATATCTGGGTTACTTCCAGGTTAATGTGGGTGTGTGTGTGTGGGTGGGGGGTCATTCTCATTGTTGGCCCACATTTTGATGTTTTTTGAAAAAAGTGTGTTCTCTCTCTGTGGCAGCAATGTTTAGTGGTGGTTCTTAGGAAATCTCGCTTGGTGGAGTCGCAGCGTGGCAGGCATGAGGCACAGTCCACGTCCACTCCTCCCCCCACCCAGCTCCGTCCAGCTGATGAGTGATGAGCTTGTTTATAATGAAACCAAATCTCTTCCTGTTAGACATGAGTCATCGGGTGTAGAGCAAATCATTAACATTGTTACATGCTTGCTGAGGTGTTTTCCAATATTCTGTACTGGGATTAACCTTAAAAACTCTTCAGGATGCTTTCAAATTGGAGAAAATGCTGTGCCCTCTTCACCCGTTTGGAGATGGGTAGATTTAAACCATTAGCTGCATTAGAGTCTAACGACTGGTCTAGACTCCTGCGGTTGCCCAACCTCGTTTAGATCTACTGTCCAAGAGCACAAATGGCTCAATTAGGAGTTTTAGCTCCCCTTCACGAGTATCTTGACTGCCATTACAGTGTCCTGATAAATGAAGCTAACATTTTTAGCAAACAAATATCCCCTTTAGGCACTATAGTCCCGGACTTGCTCCACTTTGTAAAGCTCTGAGCCGATTTTCTGGGTCTCAGGACGTCCACTTAATTGCCATCTACTGCACAAAAACACTCAGCAAAAGAGCAAGACTGCAATTAGCTGTGGCTCGCTGCAAGCTTGGCATAAATCTGCCAAATTGTTTCTCTTAAGATAGTTGAGTAGTTGTGGTTCTCTGTCCTCCATTTTTGAAATGTAGGCCTGTCACAAGGCTATCATATAATTAGGCAGACCAGCAGAAGCAAGCGTGATGTAAGGCTAAAAGCTGAGGCATTGTGGTGCTGTGCTGAGGCAAACAAAGGTGGGCTGTTATTTTTGTAGTACTCTCTTTATCCTTTAGCTTACTGCCTCAGAGGATCCTGCTTGGTCCTGTCTTGGGCCACAGCAGCGTCTGCCGTTGTATCCGTTTTTACACTATGCCCATTTTGTCGTGCTTCGTGAGCTTTCAGTTTCATTTTTCCTCATCCCTTAATCGTTATATCTTTTTGTTGTCTTTTTCAGCTGATTATTCTTGAAGATTACGCGGATCCTTTTGATGCTGAGCAAGCTGGTGGGGCTCAGACCACCACAGAGAAAGTGACAACTGAGAACGACGGCTACATGGAGCCATATGAGGCCCAGAAGATGATGGCAGGTACAGATGAATCGGTTAATTCCTGTATGCGATTTTTACTTTTCTTAACTCTGTGGTGTTGTACCATTTTTTCCCACCTTCACATAGTTTAAATGACAAGCAGTCAATTTGTGTCTTTTGTATGACTTCATCCTGTTTGTCTCAGGGATAAGGTAATTAATATTTATTGTGGTTTGACCACATAAGTTAATGCAGCAGGACAGATGTCATTTTACTTGACAACCATGGCAAGGCAGAAATGAATTGTCAATTAAAAAGGAAAAAAAAATCAAAGATGGGTTTGTTTTCCCTGTAATGTCATTCAGACATTTAACTGATTCAATGGGCCTCATGCAAGAACATGTTCGTATTCTTATCCTAAATTTCTCTTACTTTTGTTCGTACAAAGGGTTCGTACGAACATGCTACGTCAGATTCAACAAACTCTTCTATCTTCGGGAAAAGTGCGTAAATGAGCTGCGTAAATTACACCGGACGACGTGTCCATTCATGAATGACATCGCAAAGTAAAAAAGAAGAAC